CTTCAAGTCCTGTGCAAAAACGCATGATCGCACGGGCCCGCCCGGTGCGTTCCAGCCTGGGTTCCTCTTGTTCTCTTCTTCCTCATTTCCATCTTGTAACTGTCTTTTATTCGCTTCCTTGAATTAGGCAGGCTATTTTCATCTCACAACAACTTCTTGAATTTTGAAATCGCCTTGGTGTTTGAGGCTGCATTTCAATTACTGTTTTGCAAGCACCAGATAAGTTTCCTCTACTGCTTGCCTTACAAGACATCCATCGGTAACATCGGACCTCCACATCAGTAGTTCAAGCTACCGTGGTGTAGGTGGCAGTTGCGAAATACAGTTGAAATTCTTGCACAGCTTGTGTAAGATGATTGTTTCCGTAATTTCTTTTGTAGCCTGTAACGAGCATCGGGCAACAGCAGCAGCATCCTATGCCCGGAAGTAGTGTTGGAACAACTTCTCTGGATATGATGGCGCAGCGTGCACCTAGTGCGCTAAAAAGCCAAGAAGTCAGCACCACCACTTATCCTCAACAACGGTATGGTATGATGTGGATTTTCAAGTCACATTGTTTCAGCACCTTTTATTAGGGCATTTATATTATCAAGACCTCTGGTGATTTTGATGAGTTTTGTATGTTTCATGCGCTAACGCGATATGTTGAAATCACAGCTGAAAAAGATGGGGCAAGCAATGAAACAGACGAAGGATAATAACTAGAGCCATGCAGCCCAGGATCGGACACCTGACAAGCTGCATCCGGCATGCAGAAGCATCCTAACATCACTTTTATATGATACACCGATTGTCCGGATGTCTTATCGCTGATGACAAGGCTGAGTTGTGTTAGCTGACCACTAGAACCAGAGAAAGGCTGAGGAATTGAAATTCTGGAAAGACTTTAGCTGTGTACGATGTTGCAAATCCGCAAACAACTTTGTTCACTTTCTTTGTCGTGATGCAAAACTTAGTTCTGAATTCATGCCTTGGGAAATAGCGCTATGCCAGAGCTTTTTTTAATTCTCAAAATTTGCTGTTGACATCTGGCTGATTTTCTAGTCATGGAACATCGGGTCACAAAACCAGTTAAACCAAATTCATAAAGTGAAAAGGCTTAAACTACATTTGTTTATAAAATTTTCTGTAAATCTGGCAAGGTAATCGAAGAGAAGCCATCCTGGTCAAAAATTTCAGGATTTTTCTTTTTACCTCGGAAGACGACAGGGCCTAATGCCGCTCTTTGAATGCAGCGAGCACT